AGGAGTAAATCGCGACGTAACCGCCGAGGACGTCCTTTTAATCGGCGATATCATTTTCCACCGACGATTCGTAATGCCGGGGCGTTGAAGCGAGCAGATTGAAATTAGAGAGCGGCCGACGCGTTCTGTTTTTTCTTAGCCCCTCTTCCTCTTATCCCTTCTTCCGTCCTCTTAACGAACATTACGAAGACAACGACAAGATAATCTTACCCTTTTTACCTGGCGCGTCGTCGCCGAATTCGCGATTCCGTCTTTTCTACGCAACACGATAAATTTCGATTTAGAGAACGCCAACGCTGTTTTCTCACGTGACGAAACGAAACGTGTTCGTTACGCGATCCTGTTAACACGACCATTAACTCGATAACCATCACCGGTTCGGTATCGAGGCTGAAAAAGTGTTAAACTGAAATGGAAAAAAGAAAAAGAAAAAAGAAGAGGGAGAGAAGAAAGAGGAAGGAAAAGATGAGAGGAATTTCCGGAAAACGGACAACGTATCAGGTTTCGTTTGGTATTATTGCGCAACCCTGATGACTACACCGATGATAGAAGCGTTCTAACTATATCGGTAAGATTACAACCTGCCACATAATCGTTAGTACCACACGATAGTTTATAGATAGATGTTTTATTTTTTATTTTTTAAATAACTAGCCATTTCCGTGTATCTTCTAATTAAACGCGGCATGGTTACGTACTTACCGTTCACCGTACATGGAAAGAGTAATTTAGGTGCTGCTTGATCGGAGTTACCAAAGTCACACATCGATGAGAAATTCGACAGAAACGTTTCGCTTAACAGAGTTTCACAGAAACTGCAAACAAATCGATAACATAGAATTTATCCATCGCGAATAATTCAAAGTAAACGACTCGTTGTGCTGGTATTCGTCGATAGGTGTTGGCTCGTTTTCTCCTTTTATTTCTAGCACGAAACGTGGCGATTAATAAAATCTGATGGTAAATTACGCCGTCTGCTAATACGTCTACGTTATACGTATATCTCGATCGGATTGAAACGAGCTGGCCGAAAAAAAAAGCGATTTTTTAGCGAGCATTTTTTTCACTCTTTTCGCATGTATACAAGCGATACTCCTGCGATAAACCTGCGTTATACTTGTATTATATATCCGCGTTAACGTAATTTATCGTTTCCGATTCCCCATGCATGTACGAATTTTTCATGAACGTGTTTCCTAATGCGGTCACGTAATTATTTAATTATCATTATTGTATAATTGTTGCATCCTCGTTAAACCATGACCCTCGTAACGTTTATTACGAGCAACAAGTTAGCAAACACTCGGATCTTGTTAATAACATGATGCAATAGAGCCGACTTTTTTTCATTTACACATTCTATTCAACGGATTACGCATAAATTAAATTGGCTTCGTTAGGATCTTGATTACGGTTGACGAAGCTTGCGCGTGTGCTACACTGAATCTGAATTCGACATCGAACGATCCTGCGATACGCACGTGCGAGACACAGTCACTCGCATTTGATTAAAAATTTGTTGAAATTCCATTTGACGACTCGAGCTGTTGCGACGCGTTACACGAATTAGTTTACTGGATGACGCGTAAACAAATTTTTCAGAAAATTGTAATTTAACGAAAGAGAATCGCGAAAAGTCACCTTTTACAACTCTTTTAACGCTTTTATCTGTTCAGCCCGTGTAATGAAAATCGAAACGATACGTTTCGTAAATTCGTAGATCGGTTGTACCATGCGCGCTGAACGATGCTGAGACAGACTCAAGACAGACTTATCGCATACAATTATAAGCCGAAAGTGATGAAAAATTACGATTCTCATCAGGTTTTAACGAAATTAACACGATAATATTTCCAACGCGTATACGATGTAATCGACGTAAATTTTCAAAATCCATTCTTTAAGGTTTCCTTCATAAATACATAAAGGTACATTAAAAAACAGTTGTAGAAGCCAACTTTCGCCATTTCTCTTTCTTTTCGGAATTACAACCAGTTGCAATTTTTTTTACACCTAGTCTAACCAACTAATTAATAGGTCTCCCAACCTGTCGCAGAAACCTATTTTAGAGCGTGTCCGAATGTTAACGATGCTATTCCAAATTAATTCAGATTGATTTTAATATATCGAAGCTCGGATAATTCTTATTATTTTATCTCAACGTCTTACTATGGGACATACCGCAACCACTGATCACGATGAATCGTTAAACTCGTAAAACGCAAGTTGCGTGGCATCGCGTTGTTTCTTTTCCTCTTTATACCGATAGATAGTCCGTAATGAACAAAAACGATTAAACGTGTCAAATTACTCGGCACTTTTAAAATGTTTTGCTCGTGGCAGGTAAACGCTTCGCATTTAGATATTAATTACCTTCTATTATCCATCGGACGAGGATAGTGTCGAGCAATATGCAATTCGAAATGCATAACACATGCACAGTACATGCACGCAACGTTGAACCAGTCGTACGGTAAGCGTACGTAATTTTTACGGAAATTTTATGGAATCGAAGGTAAATTCAAATTTGTCGCCGCACGTACGATACGGATAGCGTGGGGGGAGTAGATGGACTAACGATAGCAGGCAGCTCGGAAAAATACAGCGAGGAAACGGTAAATCAACTGAGAAAAGACTAGGCAAGAATGGGAAAGACGAACAAGAGCAAAGATAGGATTAGGTAGTAAGAAAGTAGCGATAGTTAGGGAGTAGCATGGGTTAAGCGAGTAAGCGATTAATCGACTAAGGAGTAGATGACTGGATAGCAAGGTAGGTATTATAATTGTAAAGTAAATCTCTTAAATCAAATAAAATAGCAATTATCGGCCACGATAACGTACGATACAGATTCCAACTATTCGAGATTCCGTGTATCTCCTCGGCGTATGCTCTACTATACCGTTCTACTATAGGTATAGAACCCTAGGAATTACATAACGAGAGACGATCGAGCGTCGCGTGAAACGCGGGTAATCGACACGGGGGAGAGAGAAAAAAAAAAAACAGAAAAAGGGAAACGAAGACTCGCAGGCATAATTAAAGATGGATTCGCGCGAGGAAACGACTCGAAGCGTAGATATCGCGTATGCACGTGCCAAGTCGTTGGCGACCGGTCTTCCTTCCGTCGCGTCGCGTCGCATCGCATCGCATCGCATCGCACCGCATCGCATCGCATCGCGTCGCATCGCATCGCATCGCATCGCATCGCATCGCATCGCATCGCATCGCATCGCACCGTAGAAGAGAACGCCGAGATATTATGCAAGATATCGGGATTCAACCTTGGCAATGACCACTAACTATGACGATTGAGTTGGCACCGGCCTGTGTCTGTCCGTATCATTAGCTTGCCGCTAGGATAATCGCAGAGTCGGTGGTTCGTGACGACTGATTCACCACCGGCAGCGTCTTTTTACTTACTAGCAGTTTACTCGCGGAAAAAACAAACACCTGCGGCTGGCGACCGGAAATAAAATTTCCCACTTTACCGACGCGATGCTGATTTCATTAATTTGCATGACTAGTTGTTTAAAAAGCAGGTACAAGTACGATCGAGGGGACCTCGGTACCTATAACAAGAACGTTACCGATAAACGGACCATCTCTGTGATAAAAACAATCCTTTGCTCCTGTTTATACATGCTGTTTAAGTAGGCTTTAGTGTTTAAGTAGGTAGTAGAATTAGATTTTTCTTATATTCGCTGTGCGGTGCCAATATAAAGATGTTTGTTCGCGTACGTTCCTAAGAATACAAGTTCCTATGAATACAAGTTTGGTTTTAATTTGGATGAAAATAGAGAATAGAAATAAGAAAAAGCCTGATATATAGATATATAGATATATAGATATACATAGGTGCGTACGCTTACTCGAATTCACTTTGAAAACTAGCTACGTAAACAGCGATGTAATTTTTCGAATAAACGATAAACTGAAAAATTCACGTGTTAATCGATGCTCGATTTCTTAGAGTCCAACTATGAAATGAAAGAAACGAAAGAAAGGAATCACCTATCGAAAGAGTAGCAAGAGAAATGTGCTTGCTTGCTTGCTGTAATTTCTAATCGTAAGTAATGTAAAATTTCTATCGTGCGTTAGCGAGAGCGGATTAAAGTGTCTTAAAGAACGCTTCGTATCCTCGTAACCTATCGATGCGACAGAATCTGGAATTATTGTATTTGGAATTACTCGCTTGTTTCAAATTCACGTGTTAATCGCTAAACACCTGACATTCTCCGAATGGAGTTTTAATCTATCGTATGACGATAATCGTTCGTTGTCTAAGCCCCGTCTTACCGTTTCATTCCAAGCAAGTAGAGCGCCAAGCTGTCCGAGTGTACAAATCTCGCGACATTTTGTCAAATGCAATTTTTCATTAAACCTAATTCTTCCACCGAGTTTAATCTCGTTTAATCTGATAAGCGAATAAACTTCAATAAGTTTATTTAAAAAAAGATGGGATTTTTGATTTCGAATTTCGCCACTGTTCGCCACACTACTACGCATGTGTGCACATGCATATACATTCGTAGTTGGACAATGAGAAAAGTTGTGGCGACATCTATCCTTTTCGCGCGGAAAGCAAACAAAAGCAATGGGTTGCCGATAGCAGATATACGTAATAAGATCGGAGACGAATATACCAGAAACGGGGTTCTGTGCCTCGTTCGTGATAAGATGGAGCTCGCATAATAAATCAAACGAATCGCATAACTGTTATTGCGCGACACAGAGATTTAGTGTCAACGACAGAGTAGTGATGGTTCGTGACGTCTACGTTTGTTCGATACCGAATAGATAATCGATACAAACAAATAAATAGATAAATGTCAGGAATGACACAAAAATGAGAAAGACAGTGTTAAATAAGCGAGAAGAGAGAGAAATTCTGTATATCGTACACTATTTATATTATCGCTGTTAAATTACAAAATCCTATACGCTCTACACAACTTAAACGTGCTTAAAACAACCACTTGACTAAATCGATTACAAGTTGATCGTCTTTCGTTATTTTTATTGAATTTTAGGATTTTGTAAGATCGATTTTCCTTCTAGTTTATAATAATTTTACGTTACTTATGATGTATTATGCATCGAGTTCTCTATTATCTATAGCTTGCTTTAATTCTATTATTTCTTTCGCACTACCTTCTTTAAAGCTCCAATATCTATAGTCTTCGTAGTCCCGTATTTGATCACGTATTCTACCTTTCAATTTGTACAATTCTCTCTTGTTTGAAATTACCTTGGCTTTGTGAAGAAATTTTTCATATTCCATTTGTATGTTTGGGGACATGTATCTCGAAATAAATCTTGTAATCGGATGCTGTAGAAAAAGCATTGGTTTTACGCTTACAATTTTGCCTGTAATACGTATTTAGAAATATTTTTCAACGCTGTCTTACCCTGTAGTATTCCCATTGCTTTGGAATATATCCTTCTGGTATTGGTTCTAAGGTGGCTGGCCCTATAAATACGTTGCAATAAAAGATGAGCAAACCAGCAGGTATAACGCCCATAAAGACGTAAAAATGCAGCCAATCTTTAGTTTTGTGCCATTGCCATCGACTTGCAGTTACTTCCATAACACGATGATCCGACATGCGTCTTACCATTCCTAAAAGTTATTAAATTTTCAGTTTTTGAACATTCGTCAACAAAGTTGACTATTTGAAACAAGTTGATTATTTTTCCAGCAGTCATCGTTGGTCACGTTTAATTCTCGTAAGAACAACTCCGTAAACAGGCACAGTGTTCGCGTTCGTGGGAAAATTTGTTGCGTAACAAAACACTACTACTCCTTCGATATACACTGTTCTATCTACAGAACGAAACATAATTATCTTCATCACCTTGGTTTTGCAACGCATAATTGTTGTTTTTCCGTAGTAACTTTCCCAATAACTCGTTCGTATGAAATAATTTTCGATTAGTCGCAAGCAAAAGCCTACTCACGACAGCCATTTTGGTTTGTAACTATAAAACGGAACGCACTACTTGTCTTGTTAGCGCAAGAACCACCGTTGGCTACTTTACCGACGGTAATCTAATCTGCTTAAGCCGCGAAACTTGAAATTGCGTACGTCAAATACGATTAAATATTTGAAACTTTAATAGGTATATATAAATTTTGTAGGTATATTTGAATGTTATAGTAATTATATAAGGATCGTATGTAGTTTTGATGGTAAATTTATTTTTTTATGCCAAATTGCCGTATATTTATGATAAAATCCGTACCGTACCTTAACCTCGTCTAAGATAATTAAATACGAACGCATGGTGTAGAGTTAGAAAGTAATTTATTAAGAGAAAGCGTGATCTTTCATGTAAAAAATATGTTACATATATATATATATATATATATATATATATATATATAGTATTATATATATATATATATATATATATATATATATATATATATATATATATATATATATATATATATATATATATATATATATATATATATATATATATATATATATATATATATATATATATATATATATATATATATATATATATATATATATATATATATATATATATATATATATATATATATATATATATATATATATATATATATATATATATATATATATATATATATATATATATATATATATATATATATATATATATATATATATATATATATATATATATATATATATATATATATATATATATATATATATATATATATATATATATATATATATATATATATATATATATATATATATATATATATATATATATATATATATATATATATATATATATATATATATATATATATATATATATATATATATATATATATATATATATATATATAGTATTATATATAAAATAAATATAATATAATATTGAATGTAATATATATATATATATATATATATATAGTATAGTATAATATTTATTCATATATATATATATAGTATTTATATGTACATAAATTGCGGTTTGAACGAGAGAAAGAAAGAGAAACGGATAAATTGGCGCGAAGCTTTCGCGACTCCATGCCATGCCATGCTATGCCATGCCATCTAATACAAAGGTACATTTAGCGGCAATGAAGTTAGGTTAAGTGAATAGTTGAACTCGAGAAACGATTCTAAATTACAAACGCTCGTTGCAAATTCTCGTGATCGTGTTTGAAAACAAAAAACAACTAACGATAGAAACTATACCAACGATAATTAATTCGTAGAAACGGAAAAACTAAATTTCATTACCAACTTAATATATGATCTATGATCACGTATAAATTGTCTTCTCTGGCCGAAAATATTTCTGATCCAGTAATGTCATCGGCCAGTTGTTACTACTGCTGGCAATATTGGATTTTGCATTACAGATAATCTTATCACTACGTTATTAGTAGTATTAACTAGCGTTAACAAATATTTTCGCAAAACAAAACAATGTTGGTCTGACACCTAACGACCGTCAAACATTTATCCAGCATGTTGTTGGTGGTCTGGAAACATCTCGACGACTATATATCAATCTCAACCGCTATGTGCAGTGCTTGATCCTCATTGAAGTAAATGGTATTGATTCGAACGAAATTAATGCTGGCGTCAAGTTACTGAAAATGTTCGCATTCGACACGTTGAGCAACGCATGACGCACAGACGATGCAGCATTTGCCGATGCTATCGAATCGACTAGTAGTTGCAGAGAAACGTCAAGAATATGCAATAACGATTAATTGCTTTAAACGTCTAGCATTTTAGCGTAAAGATACATAGCACAAGTATATGTATAGTATATGTATATAGGAGTGAGTCGACCGTTGACAAGTAACTGATATAACACGGAGCTTGGATCGGCACATACGATAAAATATCGAATCTCTTAATAATAATAATAATTATTATTATCTGTGTCGTCTAGCGAAATATCATTTAATAACTATTCGATCAAAGATATTACGTTTCACAATTGACATGTTTGCGACACATTCTTTACTCGCGTTTTTACCTATTCTACGGTTCTATCATCTACACGGAAAAAAGCATCTGCACTTGAAGCAATCTACGTGTTTTCTTCCGTTGATTAAAAGTGCAAAAATATGTTATTCAATTATGACGATGGCGTAATAAAGAAAAAGAAATGTCACGTGGCAATAAATCAACAAAACGGCCAAGATAAGATCCATGGTGTCATTTACTATTTTATATGATCAAGTGGAACGAACGTACACCGACCGATTCCAGCGAGAAGGCGAGAAGGCGAGAAGGCGAGACGACGACCCTGAGGAAATGGGTTAAAGACCGCGAACCTTTCCCCTTCCCCATGTGTCTTTCGAATTGTTTCGTTTCGAGACATTCGGTCGTTCCGCGTGCATCCCTTCTACACCCGACTCCCCAAAGATAGACCAATGCAATACTTGCGTATACGGTGCATTGGGTACACCGGCTGCATCATACAATAGACGCGACGAATCTCTCTCGTCGTTCACGTGATTCACACGCTTCCTTACTCGCGGCTGTTTTCGCAATACACGCTGCCGTACACGTGAACTCGTATATACTGCTATGTTCGACATCTCGTGAATCTCGTCGCTGTTTCGTTCCTCGAAATAACGATCCTGCCAAAATAAAACCAAAGAAACGTAACTAAAAAACAAAGAAAACCTATCCGGTTTCAGCCGGATAATCGCTTGAAATTCGACGTAGAACTGTGTTTCGCAAAATACAACCTACGATCTACCGAGCGATTTCTCGAGCTTGAAACGCTCGACGAACGGTTTGCATTTGCACCATTCGAATCGATTCATGTCACGAGCTTGGGAATTGCCCATCGACTGAACGTTTCGAACGAGAATGGGTCATTGTCCACCAGTACTTTATATCATCGTTTGTTGCTTTGGTTTAGCATCGTGCAGTATCGGGTATCAGCCGGAGCTCTGTGCATTCTATTTTCCATGTGTGTTAGCAACCCTTAAATTGCTCGCTTTGTCGCCAGTAATATAAATATATATGTATGTATGTATGTACCATAGCAGCGCAGAAGACAGACATCGTAGCGCCGGCAACGGGAAGGGACGATCGACCGCGAGGCAAGCGTTCGCAGTTTGCCAGCCTTCAGTCGCGTATTGGCCACCGCGCACTGTACGTCGGGAGCCGTTCGTATCCGAACGAAGCTTCTGCTCTATTCTATTGGCAGGGAGGAAGAAAACGTGCGTGCGCGAGATAGATAGATAGATAGATAGATAGATAGAAAGAGGGAGGGAGAGAGAGAGAGAGAGAGATAGGGGGGAACATTGGCAAAAGAAAGGCAAAGAAAGAAGTGCGAAAGAAGTAGGCTTAAGGATCGAATTTAAAATAGAAGAAGAAAAGTCGCTACTCTAGGAGGTGAGTACCAATTTGTTTGCTACGCACAACGTACATTTACGATTAGATTTGTCGAGTGTTTTATCGACGCTTATACGCAAGGAACGGAGAAGATAGGACATTTCTTTTGAATTAAAAACAATTTAGAAATGGATCGATGCGACAAATACACGAAGGTATATACGGTCCTGTGTGCCGTTGACTTTTCGACGATCGATCCTTCCGTCGTCGTCTCGTTATTTCTCGCATAGAATCGGTGAAAGGGGCAGGTTTCGGGTTTTTAGTCTCGAGTACGGATGCGAGAAATCGACCGCGAGCTGAAACTCTGCTACGAGTTGTCCGTTGAAAGTCAGACACGGCAAATGGTGTTTCAAACGAAGCTTTCCAAGACGAAGAAGAACCGCTTTCGAGAACAGTCTTTGCCGGAGGTTCGATGGAACTCGCGTACTCTGTACGTTATGTGAACATTTCGCACTCGTGCGAACACACGATCGATCGTTCAAAAATAGACACTCTGTGTGACAGTGACCTACGCCTACTTCGATATCTCGATGAGGGTAATATACGGCGCTTTAAATAATCGAATTTAATCTAACCTCGAACCTATACATTGTATCGTATGCATCGTATATACTGGATATTCGCGATTCTTATTCGAAGATCGTGTGAAAATTATTGGAAAAATATTTAGCATGATTTGTTGTCAAATCGATCGAATGCTTGGTTCGGCCAAATCGTTCAGAATGTATAGTACAGGGTAGTATAGGGTAGTACAGGTACTGAAGAGTATAGAGTATAGAGTATAGAGCAGAGAGTATAGAGTATAAAACGATGGTTTCCTCGGGCTATCCTCTGTTTCGTTTCCACTACCTTCTCTGGCCGACGTTATAATACGATTAAATACGTTGCGATAGTTGCAAAGTACAACAAAGTATCTTTATGGTTAGCGCGAGTGATTTATTCGTGTAAATGACGTAATATTTGCTACGCCGCACCTGTACGTAAACGAAGCGCGTGCCGCTTTGCTTTGTGCGAATCCAATTTTACTCTCTGACCTCTGACCTGGTCGCTCATGTACAATGATTTACACGTAGACGATTGTCGTTTTGACGTTCGAATGAAAAACAAACGGTAGGAATAATACGTAGAAATAATACGTAGGAATGGCGTACTTGAAATCCAGAAATATGTTCACGATGTTCAGGCAAACATTATAAAAAACTGTACAGATTAAACATGACGCAAAGATTAAAATAATTATTTTGCAACGTTTTGTCACGTTTTCGAGTAGTGTCGAGTAGATAAATTGCCACACAAGTGCGAGACGCGTGGATTATCTTGCACCGTTTAATCGTTGTTGTATCGGCGATTAAACGAGATAACGATGGCCATTATAAAATTAATCTATTTTAACGTTTTATTTAATGTAGGATCGGCGACTAATCTGCGATAATTAGTTTGAGTATGCGAAACATGGCCTACAGATTAAAAATGATGTAATAAAGGATCGAACGAAACGATATAATATCGAGCTGCGAGATAATATCGAGCAAGCGTAAAATACACTGTAATTAAATATATGGAGCGGCGGAATAAGTCGCCTGACAAATAACTCCTAATAAGTATCTGGTCCTTAATTGCGTATCACGTGACGGACCCGAGCACGCGAATCTCTTATGCAATCGGGCGTAAAGACATTATCTCGATGGTGAATCAGAATCGAACGATTCGAGAAATCGCGTGGTACTCGTTAACCGGCAATCTCGATGCGATTCTTGGTTGCGGGAGAAGTGGCATTAACGACAGGGAGAAAAGAAACGGACGATTTCCAAAGATCGAGAAAACGCGGTCGATTCTCGAGTTGCACAGCACAGCTGCGTGTCGCGATTTAATCGGCGCTCGTTCCTCGAATCGAACCCGTTATCGTTCGAGGGTTAGGTTGGTCGATCGTCGAACACCGATTTTAGCGAGATAACTTTTTCACCAGTTAATAAACAGCTGCTGTATTTTGGAACGCGGAATATTGCTTGCTCGCTTGATTCGGTCGACGACTTCGATCGGCTTAGCGGCGTAGAGTGGTAGCTAGGTGTGTGTAGCGTTATCGAAGCGGTGTACTGGAGGAAAATTCGCGAAGGAAAAGTCGCGCGTTCTCTTCGAGAGGCATACACGTGGCTGTATACGTGGTAGGCTGTACGAAAAAAGGTAAAAAATCTGCCTCGCATCATAGAAAGTCAGTGCGCTGCCACGCACAGCGATTTCAACAACGAAATTACCGTGTCACTAGCCACGATGGTATTCCGTGGTCTCGGGCCTCCTTCGAGACGGACGTTCTCGCGACAACCGACGACAATGTGCGCTTTCGCGCCGATAATTACGCAAACTAACGAACTGCGTTCGATCGTGTGGCGATTGTTTCGTGCAACGGAGAAGAGAAATTGGGCAAATCCTATCGATAAAATATAAATATAATTGATAATTATACGATTGATAAAATTCGATGTTTTTTTTCTAGAGTGTACGTAAAATGGTGGTGACCGAGTACGAAATCCACGTTCTCAGTTGACAGACAACAGGGGGAGGCTGTTTCCAGGAGAGGTGAGATCGACTAGCACGTTGATCAAAGAAAAAGGCAGCAGGCGCAGCTAAATACAAGACACGTGTAGCAGCAGCAGCAGCAGCAGCAGTGGTGGGAAAAAGAGGCATAAGAAACAGCAGCTATGGATCCTTATTCGCTGAGGTTAGTCTTGCTTAAGAAAATGTGTTTACACACGCTCGATAACGATCTATGGATGGAGATACATAAATCGAATGCAACGGTCAAGCAGTGAGAAATCAAAGTATATAATAACAGCAAGTGCACAGCCTTTGTAGTAAATAATCTTGTCGGAGCAAAAAATAATATGTTCGTCTAATTCGTCGACCTGGCACGATCTGTGGCGCGTCAGGTACGAGTAGCTGTCAAATTTGCCAACAGGTTTCATCGACAGCGCTGATTCGTAGAGCTTTTTCTTTCGCTTTTCCCCTTTCTCGTGATCGTGTCTATGCCTTTCCATCTGCGTTAGGGAGAACGGTTGTTTCCGCAGCGTCTTTCCACAGCGAACGCCTTCTGTGTTCCTCGACGGTATCGGTTCTCTAGTGGGTATAAACCATTTTGTATCGCGCGCTTGTCAGACGATCTTCTCCGATCGACGATTCTTTCTGATTTATCGAATATCATCTGCTAGTTAATTCGATATGGCTAAATTCGATATAGCGGGTTCAGCGCTGTTAACGTTCGACGCGCCTCGCTATGCTACTAGTTTTAATATTTTCCTCTTTATCGATCTGTGGATCGTCGGAGCCAGCCCCTGTATCGTTTCCCACGCTAGCCAAATACGCGATCGTTCGACGAAAGAGGTGCTGAAAATCACGCGTTCCGTTGACTTTGTCGACCGATCGGTTTCTATTTCATAACAGCGAGCAAGGGTAATCGTCGATCGAAAATTCAGAGGATGGCGACATCCTATAGCGAATACGTTATTGTGATTGCTTGGCTGTCCTCGAGCGAGAGAACCTAATCGAATCTGTTTTCGTTATTCGCGCACGTATAACGGCGATACGACGTACGACGGGAATTTTGGAAAGCGTCCTTCGGGATTTCGATCGTTCTTTCGATCATCGACCGTGTATTTGATTAACGACGGTAGCCGTTGTATGCGATCCACTTGGCAATGAAGTGGATGTTATATAAAATTTTGACGGGATGTAGGATGGATGTTTCAGGAGGCCAGGTACGAACGAAAGCACACGAAACTCGTTCGGGGGAATAACAGGAAGACGACTCGTTCTCCGGTCCGGAGAACCAGTTCTGCCAGCCGATAAATCGCCGATACTCTTGTTTTGAACGCGTCAGCAAGACAGATACGTTTAAATCGCAATATCGTTCGTCGTTGTCCTTTCTTCCACGACGTTATCAACGTGGAGTCGCGTTAAACAGAGAAAAAAGAAGGAAAGAAAAAGAAAAGAAAAAGAAAAGAATGTGTCAACGCAAATAACAAAAGACGAAACGCGAGATATTTTCCGCAAAGAAAAGTGAATTCTCGATGAGGATGGTGACCGTATCGAACGTATTAGAAGTGCGCAAAATGGGAAAATTAAATGAAATTATAGACACGAGCAAGCTACATTCGTGTTTACGAATCGTCATCCCGATTTCGGAAAGCAACCTCTGATCTAACCATGCGCTGGGATCTGGCATCTGGCACCTGGCACCTGGCACCTGGCACCTGGCACCTGGCATCTGGGATTTGGGATTCGAGATCCGGGATTGTGTACGGTTTCTGTTAATATAGTTGAGATATCTCGGGGCATGTGTTACATAAACGGACGCAACTGATAGTGGGAACTTGTAAACAAACGAACGAAAAACGAAAAACGAAAAACGAAAAACGCAAGACCGCGAAACGCTGACAATAAGCGACGTGTCGCTGTAATAGTTGGCACTAAGAGAGTTAAACCGTGCGAAGCTGCATTCTTCTGTCACTGCTGCGATTTAGAAAATACGCGCATACGCGCCAGGTATTCTACTTGCACAATCCACCGGTGGATAGGTAAATTACTGTTACCGCGATAATACGCGCATACGTACTAGGCTGAAAGGAAATAAGGCACGAGGATCGAGCGTTTTCCGATCGCGAATCTTAAGCGTCGTGATATCGAGTCAGCGAAATTTTTCCACCGTGCCCTCCAAACGTTTCTTCCGTCCATCTTATCTATCAAACTGAAACGGCCGACTTACGATCGATCGCGTCACGTAACAAACAAAGAGTCACGACGTCGATAATGAACGGAGTCGATCTAACAATAACTAGGTACGATACGTTCTGTCTGACGTAACCCTTTATATTTGTTCTTCTTACTTTGCTTGGCAAGGCTCGCATTTAAAATATCACGACGCGAAAGAAAGAGGAAAGAAGCGCGAAAGGGAGAACTGGCTATCGCTATCTAGAAGGAAACTAGAGTCGAAATAACGCCAAGTGACGTCATTTGATACTCTTGGTCGTGATAAAAAGCTTAGCACCGAGTTGTCCAGTGATGACAACTGCGCGTTATTGTTTCTTTTTCTATTTCGAGTATAGTCAGCCTGGCATATAAATGTTTCGAATAAATTTGTCCCGCTACTTTCGATTCTCTCGAAATTTCCATTTGCACGGCTAAGCCGAGTTAGTCGGGCTACGGCCCCGCTAATCTCAAAATTCGCCATGTCGTCGTTACCTTACGTTTCGATACGCTATGGCTAAGGCTAAAGATGTCACCGCTAAAAGATATATATTCGCGCGGATAGTAAATGCCTGGCCTTTCTACGGCATTGCTATTCTTAGAAAAGTTGTCCAACATCTGTCGGGCACGTATATCCCGTGCGTTTTATTACATAGCCGAGTTTTAGATACCGATTTATCGATATATGATTGGGAGGCTAAGAAATTGCGACTTTCCAGCTAGCACCGATAATCTTACAAAGTCATAAGGCGGCTGTCTG